TACGCCTTGCCACTCGGGAGACGTAAATTATGATGATGCGAAGCGGACCCTGTCCCATGCCCCCCCCGCCTTCATCCTGTTATGATCGACATTGGTGCCACATACCGTAGCGAAACTCAGAATCTTACGCTAACTGAAAGGCTTGGGAAGCTCATGAAGACGTCAACTTCAAGCAGTGCCCACCAAATATAAGCGGAACATAGGCGCTCTTCATAACCACATCTTCGCTGGTCAATGATTCCTTGTCGAGATAGACATTTCCTCGTTTTGAGAACAACTTGAAGTACCATCTGAAGCGAGTAACTAGAGTGAGTACTAAAGAAATGAACAATCACGCGAATCGAAGCGTACTCGGGATACTCGTGGTCAGCCTTGAATGACCAATCAACATCAAAAAGCCAAGCGTCCACTTGGGCTTCGGCATTCATGTCAGGCTTCAGCTCATCCATTACACGTTTCGCAGCAGTTACCAACGCTCGAGCTCCCGCTTCCTTGGTCTCCTCACAAGATTTCTCATTCTTCTGAAAAGAAAAGACGTGATTCCTTCAATCGCAAGCACTCAAGGTAAACCCATCGACAGCGAACTGACACCGTAGTTAATTATTCGAGTTTCATTCCCAAAAATTACACTAGTTTGCTATTTTCTGGGCTATGGGGCACACCTTCACCTTGAACGCCGCAAGGGTTTAAGTTTTTTGCGTATTTTTTTGTCTTTTGTTTTTTGAGGCGGAGGTGGTGTAGTGACAAGTGGCGCGCTTACCACTCGCGCGGTCCTGGGTTCGAATCCCAGGTCGACACCCGTCCTGGGTTCGAATCCCAGGTCGACACCCGCAACCAAGCCTTCTACCCTCCGGGGACGGTAAATTGGTACCAGATTCGTCTGGGAGGATAAAACACTGACTTGTACATCGGCTGGCCACCGCAAGTCATTGTATAGGCCACATCGCATTCAATCCACTACGATTCTGAATGGAAGTAGAATGCGTGCCGCATCCCACAAAGGGATTGATTAACGGCGAAGACTTTATCCTTATCCTTTTATTTTTTTTATTATTATTATTATTATCTAACAAAGCAGTTGATGGTGTGAAAAACATTTCGCGTAAGCTGTCATTTCGCGTGCGTCTCTGCGACCTTGTGGATGAATGCGCCCTATACCCACAAAATGGAGCCATTATCCTATATGAGACCTATTTCGAGCTTCTGGAACAGGAGAAGTTAGGGGGTCACAGTGCACGTCCTGCCGATGAGGAAATTTTTGCAGCATCCCAAATTCCCTCCCTCTCCCCCAAATTTCCATATCTGGTACGCCCCTTTCCCATCCTACCTGCCATCTTCCTCATTTTCCCAACTTCCTACAACTTGTCCTGAGTTTTTTTTTGCGCGGCAAGGCTAGATGGGGCCCACTCTGGCCGCCGTTTGGCGCTCTCTAGGGCTCACTCCATCGAGGGGAAGGATCACAGGCTTGGTAGTAGGGTATAAAGGTGCATGCCTAGCCATACCGCCGCGTACTTCCTTAGCTCCTCCCCGTTCAACTTCGACAGCTCCCATCATCCTCTCTGAAATTTATTCCCATCTCTATTTCCACTACAACATGGGCGCTCTTCGGCCTGGAGGCCCATTTTACGTGAACTTTCGGATTCACTGGTTCCTCCAGTTAGCTCATGCAAAATAATAGATCTCATTTAAGTGAGACCTGGGAACTCCTGTGAAGCTGCGGAATGGTGCGACTGCATCAGTTTGGTAATAGGACGTACAGTTTTACACAAGGTGTCACAAATTTCGCCGGTATACCTTTCGGTGCCCCACCAGACCGAACTGCGCCCAAACATGCTTTTATCCCACATTTCCCTTATGGCTGTTAGTTGAAAAATATTCCTGTAAAATAAGGAATATCCAAGTGAAGAAAAGTAAACAGAAGGAAAATAGCTTCGCGAACCTGGTAGAATAGTTCCCAGTTCTCGTTGATTGGGAGGTAAGCGTTTCCCATATTCAGCATGCCGTACAATGTCACTGGATGAGGAAACCTAATAAGTAATTATAAAAAAATATTTCAAAGGAAAATTCCCGTTTCATAGTGATCACTAAAGACTTCGGAAGTGTTACTGCCAGTTTACAGCGTACCATGCATAGTAAGTAAACGATAAAACTGAATACGAACCTATTCTGGTATTCCAGCCAGAGTTTCTTGAAAATCTGGCAACACGCTAGGTTGTCATCAGCGCAGTAATTAACAAGAACCTAAACTATTGATGATAGGCTTTCATAAGGTTAACTAAATTGATCTAACCATAAAAATAAGTTATGAGTAGCAAACTGATTTTGGCACTAACGCAATTTGGGGGGGGGAGAGACATGGGCTCTCGGCAGCGCGCCTCTTACCCTTCTCCATTCAAAGCTCAAGTTTAATGGAGACTACGTCTGCTTTGCGGCGAGACCAACCCTCGGCAATTCTGGTCGTCTGCGCTCTAAGCTTGAGAATTGTTTAGAGGAAGGCACGCGGAGGCGTGGGTGAGTGTCCTTCCCTTCCAACTACGCCAACGCTGTGAATCACCAAATGATTGAACAATCGTTTTTTCAGATTACCAAATTCATCAGATTTATTATATCGGGCGTGGGGCGTTAATTCCACGTTGGAGCGACGCAGTAAAGTGTTATTTGGAAGCATGTCACGTGCGCAGAGGCAGAGTTCGTACCAGAATATAAATAATTTAAAATGGGAGTGCCGCGCGTACGTCGCGGAAACTAGCTAGGAAGTACTAGCAGACTGCGCAGGTAGCCGCGTAGATGCGATGTTTTACACTAGGCGAAATTATTAAAGGATAAGGATAAAGTCTTCGCCGTTGATCAATCCCTTTGTGGGATGCGGCACGCATTCTACTTCCATTCAGAATCGTAGTGGCTTATTGAATGCGATGTGGCCTATACAATGACTTGCGGTGGCCAGCCGATGTACAAGTCAGTGTTTTATCCTCCCAGACGAATCTGGTACCAATTTACCGTCCCCGGAGGAAAGAAGGCTTGGTTGGCCTGGGCGGGAGTCGACCCGGGATTCGAACCCGGGACCGCGCGACGGGCAAGCGCGCCGTTTGTCACTACACCACCTCCGCCTCGGCGAAATTGATACTCATAAAAAATACCCGAATAACGCGTACCTGAAAATTCTGTCGAATCAGATGTATGTCTTCCTTTACGAAAAACTCCTGAAACTGCTTCGATTCTTTCGACATCTTCAGCTGATCGCGATAGAGATGCTGATGCACGGCCAACAGAGAATTACGGCAAACGCGATCATCCCAGGTATCTCGCCATCGTTCAGATCGCTGCTCCTAAAGTGCTCGTTAAATGTTCACGGAATTATACTGTACTTTCACCTCCGTGGATCCTGGTTCTTGCCGTGTGTAAGGTAAATGGGTCCGTAGCTGCAGTAGCGTGCCACTTTCTCCAGTCAAAAAGCACGGAAAAGAGGCTAGATGGTAAGTGCAATCTTCATAGTCGCCCGCGTTGCGTACAGTCAGCTACACGCCTGACAAAAGCCAAACGCGATATTTCTTTGCGCCCTCCTACTTCCGCTTGTTTTTTACCTTAAGCTGCCTGCTCGTCACGGGATACTGGTATCGACGCAAGTGCTGCGAAATGAGTTTAGCGCGGACGGAGTATGGAGACGGCAATCGGATATCATGACCCCTCCAACCCCGTAGTTTTGAGCGAAGAAAGTGGCATGCTACGGCTGCTGCGGACCCATTCCTCGTACATGGAAACGGCGACGGCCTCGATCCTAAGAAGAAGTAGCAGGGCACATCATGGTTGGGGTTTTGTTGGGGATTTTAACCGATTCATGTACGAGCCCCCCCCTTTTTTTTGGGGGCGGGGTTCGTACGACCACCCGGGGTATCTTTATGTTTTTGTATGGCGAGCAGGTCCGCGTAACAGGACAGGCATAATAAAACAAACGAAAAGCCTTTTAACTACATCTAAGAAAAAATAAAAATAAAAACTTACAACTGTGAACATAACAGAAAAAATTAATAATAGCAATCACATAAAAACCTGTCGTATGCGGCAACACATGTAATAAAACCTAACGAGCCTAAGACACACGAAAGAGCCGCTTCCATGGTCCCGAATATGAGCTAGTGAGTGAAGAGAAACCTGGCCCACGTAACACAGGAGGAGCATGGAGATTAAGAAAATCAGCTAAGGCGGATGTGGCTCAGGGAGACACGCCACATACAGGGGTCCCCGCTCTTCCTTCCTATCCGATCGAGCCGGAGCGCGCGAGTGGGGGGGGGTCAACAGCACAGTGTGACAGGAGAAGGAGAGGCAATACGCCTGCAACTCCCCTGCGTCTACAATTTATTTCGCCAATTCTTGGCTGTTTTCCATCCAAGGAATTTCCTGAAAATTCCCTACTTTTCCCAAAAAATTTTGGCTTCGAGTGGACAAAGAGTGAAAAGGAGAGCGTCGTAGAAGTGCAAGCGTCACCCACAAAAAACGAACCCCCGCTCTCAAAAATGATCAGGTAAGACTCCATGCCCTTTACCCAAATACCGACCCTTCCCCCCCATTGGGGTCGATCGTGCAGCTGTTAGCCACCGCGCCAGTAATTAGAGGATTTTATAGGGCGCGTGAAGCGGGAATAATCACAACCGGAAAATTTTCTGTAAAAATCTAGTACAGCCTCTCTTCCCCAGTTATGAAATACGATTCCCTGATGGGCGTCGCACAACGGTGATTTGCGCTGCCCATAGCAACATTAAGTCATATCTATACGATGCGAATGTCGTACCGCAACTCCGTTATCATCCACATTGTTTTGACAGCGCGCGATAGCGGCTAATCCTCAGCAGTTGCGGCGGGCAACAATGACAACAATTATGAGGCAAACTCAACACGGCTAGTATACCAGCTGGCCGTCATCGCTGTGGAAATGAAAAAATGGACGGTTCATCAACGGTTCATCACTGCTCCTTTCATAAGCGTCCACGCTCGACCCTCGATGAATCTTGGCATATTGAGAGGTTTCCTCTGGGACATTGCTGTAGCCGTAATCAAGATGACATATACAGTTTTATTTGGCTATTTTCGCCTTACCGCTTCGTTCAGAGCCTGGGGAAATCAAGAAAGATCGGATGCAGAACTATCCCTTTCAAGACCTCAGATAAGTTCGTCCGCAGACCAGAACGGCTCCAGAAACCTGTCATAGTCACAGCGAATACGACTCACCTTAATGTACAGCAAGCGTTTTTGCTTTGCAGACCCGCTAAACGGACACCCGCGTGGGTGGCTTCCGGCTGACCTAGCCTCTGCTCGAAGCCGCATGGCAACGAAGTCCACACAGGTAAGCAAAGCGGGCGAGCGTCGTTTGTTGGGACAGGCATGTCGTCCCGCTTGTTCATTGTTGGTGTTTAGCGCGCACATCCAAGAAGCTTCCAAACTTCTGGCAAGCAGAGGTCTGGGGTTCTCGCATGAAAATCCTGACAGTTACCTCAAACTCTGCGCCTCCATGGCATTGTGGACGATGACTACCCAAGGAGGTCTCTGGCCATAGAATCGGCTTGAGACCATCTAGATGTTCCTTTAACCTGGAGCCCAGGGGTCGTTCTGTCTCCAAGATGTACTCATCCCCAGAACTCGTGCATGAGATCACGTAAATCACACCTGAACCCATGCACTCCCCCTCCAGCCCAGAGGACATGTAACACATTGTGGGGTTGGGCAGCAGCGATCATATCCGTGGTAGGAATATTTAGTAGGTTTTGACACTGTTGGTTCTGGGACCGAACTTATATCTGAAGGTTTGAAATGATGTTCGGGGGATAGTTTTCACCTATCTCCAATTTTTCCAAGACTCTGATGAAGGGATAAGCGTCGAAACGTTGCCATTAAAGACCTATTATATCATCTTGATTACGGCATATCCAGGAAAAAATAATATCACTGCTCCGTTCCTCCCAGAGAAAATATCACTTGCCTCCTTCCTCCAGGACGAAGACCGAGACCCCCTTTCCACTCCATGATGGCTTTTCGTCGACGCTCCACCCCAGATCCAGTAGTGCACCTAGTAGGTCTCCTCCGCTGAGTCCTCAAAAAAAATAGGGAGAAATATTGTATGGATTCTTTAGACCTGACTATTTACAAAACAAACCCTCAGATTGAAATCAGAATCGTCCGTTTCGTATGTAGCGACTTGATGATCAGCCATACCAAACATTGGAATTGCCATTGACATTGTGTCCATGAACCGGATCGCCGACTTCTGAAACCTTCTTCACTTTCATATACGATTTTGATTAATCTCATTTACTTCCAGACAAAATCAATTAACTTCAACAGATTTCAGGATTTACGCGCAAGGTTCTTGTGAAAAGCATATTTGACGCTGTTTTCTTTTTGATGCCACCATCAAAACCTTGCGAAGAATGACGGGCAAGTTTCTGGCGCAGATCAACATCATTCTAAGATGTTGCGCGCACCCCCTACCATTTAAAGCCGTGAAGGTATTGCCAGTGCCATTCGGCCTACGCAGTAACCTGCGGGGCTAGTTGATGTTCAAGCGTGGGTTCTATTCTCCCAGACAAATCTGATACGTCCTTGAAACACCCCATGGGAACAAAAGGCCTGATTGACGAGACTTAATTCAAAAGTTAAACCCTTAACCTTAACAGTGGTAAGAGGACAGTTCAGTTCCTACCCAGGTACAATTTTCCCGTACTTCAGAGATCGATGTAGACTCACACGTTAGTATAGAACCTCCAGTATAGCATGGCGCTATTCGGCTTGGAGGGAACATCTGGCACATTCGCTAGCTCTTTATGATCCCGTCAACCAGCGCGCTCTTTTTTGATCAGCACTGTGAATTCCTGTGAAGCTGCGAAAATGTTAGAGTACACCAGTCCTAGTCACAGAAATTTACGGTTTTTCCAATTTTGCCCCTACAGATACCCTTCCCAAGCCGAAATGCGCCGGACAGCATCGCCTAATATAACCTAGCACATCCTACAGGTTGAATAGGTGTCATTACACAGTAAGAGGTCATTGCTGAGACGTTTGCCAACCAAAGCCAATTGCGTGGCTTACTCCTACCGTATTAATCAGTACCAAACGCATTGT